ATATTTCCAGTCAGAAACCAGACCTCAAATGGGATTATAAGCCAAATCCTGTTTTTTTCCAGAGGCTACCCTCGGGGAGGAGCCATGCCAGAGGACAAGGCGGTGCCTGCCATGTCAATCACAAGACCGAGTAAGGAGAGAGACCCCTCTGACATTAACTCAGAGTCAAGAGGTACAAAGTTGAGAGATACAAACTATCTACGGAACTCAAACAATTGTTTTTTCTGTAAAATAATTGATTCAAGATGTCCAATTGACAAGCAATGTGATTGCAGCCAGGCGCATTGTACCCATGCAAAAGCAAGCAAATCCAGCCAGTCAGCTGGAACACTTCGTAATAAATTGGCACAAACTAACAAAAGACCTGTGGGTCCTAATTATAGTAACAAGGTACAAAAGAGATTTCACCACAGAACCCTGACAATACAAAATACCCAACCTAAACCAATTGAACCAACACCAAGAAGAGCTGGTTTCCCAGGAGATCACAGAGTTAATCTCAAAGGGAGCAATTTTAGGATTACAAACAACCCCGGGACGGGGAACGATTTTTTCTCCACCATCTTTCCAGTTCAAAAGAAAGATGGCGGTCAGAGACCTTTGATAAATTGAAAGAGATTACAGTCATTTGTGAATGCTCCCCACTTCAAGAGGGAGGGGGAGGGACTTCTCACCCTCAAAAGGCTACTCAAGTATGAGGATTGGCTTCCTAAAGTAGATTTGAAACATTGCTTATTTCTTGATACCCATAAACAGAGCACAGCTAACACCTTTTCCTTCAGGTAGAAAACAAAACATACCAATTCAACTGTCTTCCATTTGGCCTGGTCTTAACTGCATGGGTCTTTACCAAGACCCAAAAGCTTAGAGCAGCTGTTGGACAGGAGCTGGGGATACATTTGGTGGTATATATAGACGACATTCTGCTCATGGTGGAAACGAGGGAGAAAGTAGCAGACCAGGGTCAGGGATTTATAACTACCCTAAAATGCATGGGCATCACAATAAACTAGGAGAAAACAATTCTACAACCATCCCAGAGCATTAAATTCCTTGGATTTTTGGTGGATACGCCATAATGGAGCTGAGTCTCCCAGCCCAGAAAATGAAGATTTTGGTGGAGTCTTGACAATTGTTAAAGGAGGAGGAGATATCCTGCCGCACCCTTTCGAGGCTAATAGGTAGAATGAATGCCAAGAACCAAGTAATTTCTCAAGGTCTTTGTTTTTCAGGAGCTTGCAATGGACCTAACATTGGCCCTGCGGATGGGGGACCAGACCTATGAAATAAATTTAAAAGTCTCTCCAGACCGCTGGGAGGAGTAGATCTAGTGGGACACACAGATGAACCAAGTCATTTCTCCAGGAGCTCTATTTTTCAGGAGCTTGCAATGAACCTAACATTGGCTCTGCGGATGGGGGAACAGAAATACGAAATACATTTGAAAGTCTCTCCAGACAGCAGGGAGTAGATTTAGTAGGACACAGATGATAGAATTAAATGGCAGGACAATAATATTGATGAAACCGGTGGTGGGGAAGCAATAAAAAATTGGGGAGGCCATAGGGGCGTGCTGCAAAATTTTAGAGACCTAATTAATTATTCATGATGGGCGTGTCATTTAACGCCCATTAAATTATTTAACGCCCATCAGGCTAACTGATTAATCATGTCTTCTCAAAGCAAGTTATCAAGTTTTTTCGCTACTGCTTCTATTTGTACCACCAGTTCCAGTGATAATCTCTTGGGAAAGAGAAGCGTTAATTCTCCTGCATCACTTGAAGCTGCCACTGATGAAGATAATGCTACAGAAAGTAGCGATGATGAGAGTGATACTGACCACTCTGATTGTGACCATGGAGATTGCAGTGGAGATGAAACAAGAGATTTAGAGAGGAGAATTGCTTCAAAGTGTACCTCTGCTTGCTGTTCTGATGATATAAGTTGTCCAGTTCATCCAAGACTTGGTTCAAAGGTAGCTAAACGCAAGCAAGGGAAGCAGTCACGCTCTCTATGTAGCAGCTGGTTTAGTGAATATCCATGGTTGACTTACTGTACAACTAAAAGAAAAGTTTTCTGTTTTACTGTAGGAAAGCATACAAAACAAAGGTTTTGACCTTCAGTAAAAAGTCAGATCAAGCATTCATTGGCATTGGCTATGATAATTGGAATAAGGCAAAAGCTCAATTTAAGTCACACCAGCGTAGTCACTCATACTACTAAGCTATTGTCAAGTTAAAAGTTACTGAGCAGCCTTCAGTCATTAGCCAGCTAGTCAGTTCTAGTCTGAGAGACAAAGACCAAAGGAGAAAAATGCTTCTGCTGCAACTGTCATCTTTGAGACATCTTGCTAGGTAAGGTCTTGCTGTGAGAGGCCACAAAGATGAGGAAGGAAACCTGTTCCAGTGGCTTAAATGTAGAGCTACTTTAGGTCACGGTGTTGATGAATGGTTAAAAAGTGGAAAGTACCTTAGCCATGATATAATCAATGAGTTAGTTGAAATTATGGCACTCAATCTGCTACGCAACCTTTTAGCTGAGATCCGTCAAAGTCAATGGTTTGCTCTCATTTTTGATGAAACAAGGGATCAGAGTGGTCTAGAGCAACTCTGTATTTCCATTTAATGGGCTGATGAATCATATACAGTTTCTGAAGACATCATTGGCATGATGGAAATGCAGCAAACAGATGCTCTTACAATATCGAATGCATTAAAAGATGTTCTGCTTCGCTGTTCTCTCCCTCGTCAACAATGTCGTGGCCGATCATATGATGGAGCTTCCAACATGGCTGGTCATTTATATGGAGTAGCTGTACATTTACAGGGAGAAGAGCCTAGGGCTCATTATGTGCACTGTTTAGCCCATTCTCTCAATCTGTGTCTGCAGGAGTGTTCATGTAAGTGCTCAGCACTTAGAGATGCTCTTGGTGTTACTCAAGAATTATATAATCCAATAAGAGCTTCCCCAAAGCAATTGGGTTTATTCAACAGAATCAAAAATGAAATAGCTTCATCATCACCTGGATAAAAAACTCCTGTGCCCTACCAGATGGACGGTGCGTACATCTGCTATAGACTGTCGTTAAAAACTATCTAGTTATAGACACAGAACTTGAAGAAATTGCTGATGAATGTCATGGAGAACCAAGCAGGAAAGCATCTGGCTTAAGGGCAGTTTTAGAAATGTTTCAGACCTATTTTGGTCTCAAACTTGCATCTGTTCTTTTTAGTGCCACCGAGCAACTATCAACAACTCTCCAGGGACACAGTATAAACCTACAAGAGGCTATATCTGCTGCTGAGACAACAAAGATGTGTCTGAACAGACAGCACTCTGATTCTGCTTTCACATCTTATAATTTAGTCATAAAAGATGCACAAACTTTTACTAATGAGCCCACAGTACCAAGAAAACAGGGACACTTATATGCCTCACCATCAGTATACTATTGTATGCAGTATTTTGAAGTACTTGACCTGTTAGTTGCTGAAATATCACGGAGGTTTGACCAGCCAGTGTTTATCATAATGCAAGAAGTAGAAACCCTTTTAGTGAAATCATGTGCTGCCCAACCAGTCAAACCAAGTACAGCACTTCAAGCCATGTATAAAGATGACATCAATTTTAACACTCTGGAATTTCAATTAAAGATGTTGCCAGATTTAATTGAAACTGCAAACAAGCAGCAACAAATGGGTCTTAAGAAAGTTACATCAATAAATACCATTTGTGACATTTTTAAAAAGTTGTACTTTGCTAAGACAATGCTATGTGAGGTACATAAAATTATAAAAATATATATCAGTTCCAGTCACTTCTGCAACAGCAGAGAGGTCATTTTCAACATTATGAAGTCAAGAACTACCTTTGAACAACCATGACTGAGAAACGCCTTAATCACCTTATTCTTCTTCATTCACATAAGCATAGAACAGATGAAGTAAGTGTAGTTGAAGTTGCTAAGGAATTTTCACTACGTAATGACAAAAGTAAGGAGTTTTTTGGAAATTTTTTACATTATAAACAATGAATTGTTCATTTATTCACTTATTATTATAGCATTTAATTGATTCACTTATAATTCAGTTCATTTATCATTAGTTTACAAAACAAAAGTGTCTGATAATAATTGGTGGGGCTTAGCCCCTACAGTGACAGGCATTGGGGGAGCTACAGCCCCCTATCCCCCCTCTTCTGCCACCATTGGATGGAACCCAACCTGACCATAGAATTAGATGCCTCAATGCTGGGTTGGGGAGCCTATTATCAACGTACCAGTACAGGGGAGCCATGGTCTCAGCAGGAGAGACAGTGGCATATAAATTTCCTGGAATTGCTAGCAGCGACTCTAGCACTCAATACCTTCCTAAAAAACAAAGTAGGAGTATCTGTTCTACAGAAGATAGACAACACAACAGCGGTTGCCTATCAAAAATCAAAGGGGAATGGCGTCCAAAGAATTCATAGCCCTGATCAAACACCATTGAATGTGGTGCATGGAGAGGAATGTCCACATTCAAGCTCAACACCAATCAGGGGTGATGAACCTGGTGGCAGACAGAGTCGAGAACCATAAGAGACAGATCAGATTGGACACCCAATCCGGAAACGCTCACCGGCTAAAGCATCCAGAAAAAAATGAAAACATCAGTTCACTCAGCCGGCATGTGTTTTCTACAATGCCACGCCTAAAACAAACTGACACGCCTAGGACCTTACCCACTGTCAAGAAATATGACAGATCGGGTTGCCTCTCCTAGGCCTCTGCTAGTTTGGCTTACCAGACCCTGACGCAGCAACTATTCTGCTCAATATGTCAGCATGTTGAAGTTCCACAGTATCTTTATAGTTGCAGGGTTTTTTGACAGGACGGCATGTATTGTTTTTGCATGAACTTTGTGTAACATATGATAATTACGCTTACAGACACTAACCTTACACACACACCATTACATAATTATTAATGCTGGGGTGCGTATTTTCATTTTTTGTTATAAAGATTAGT